CCCCCCCAATTGATTTTGCTTCTAAAAAGCTGGCTGGGAAAGTCGCAAATGGCAGCAATGTGACTCGGGGACATTGCAACCATGGTAAATGCATGCCGGTTGCCAAACACCCAAATTTTGACCCTGAGGAAGCTGCAACATTTGTAAGTGTGAGGCCTGGTCATAAATCTTTTTTTCCCCAGTGCTATTATAACTTAGAATGGTTGCTAAATGAATAATGCTATAAGTCAAGGACTACTTGTATGGGATTTTTCCAAGTCAATCTTGATTCCTGGGGACTAAATGGGCAGTTCCTTGTTTCCTTGGCATCATCTTTGCTATCTATATCATTTTTTCTTGTTCTTCCCTTCTTTCTAGGTCAAGGAGACTGGCTGATCCAAAATGACTAGGCTGACCTCAGGTCTACAGCCGGTTCAAAACCTTAACCACTGTCCCACATCCACTCTCAGTTGGGGAAGACTTCCGAAAATACCTGGTTTAGGCCCGGTGGCTCTCTGTGGCAGCCATTTTGAAAACCCCAATGCCTTCTCCAACAGCAACCATTTTGTGACCTCAACCTCATCAGAAGTTGTCGGTGGCTACTGTTTTTTCTTTTAAAAGGTGATTTCTAGGCAGCTTTGACAGATTGCCTGGATTGCCAGCTGTCAGAAATGGTGTAGGGCTGTGATGGCGAACCTATGGTATGCATGCCACAGGCGGCACACAGAGCCATTGGTGTGGGCACATGAGCCCCAGCCAAACCTACCTGCACTGCGCATGCGTGCACCTCCCAGCTGATTTTTGGCCCCTTTGAGGCAGTTTTTGGCCTTCCAGAGGCTCAAGGGAAGCCTCTGCAGCCTTTGGAGGCCTCAAATGAGCAGAAAATCAGCTGGGAGGCGCACGCATGCGCAGTGCAGGTAAGGGAGTGGGGAAGGGGTGTTGCGCACGCATGCGCAGGGAGGGCGAGGCGCATTGCATTGTGGGTGCCGGCATGCGCACGTGCGTGCTTTCGGCACATCACAACAACAAGGTTCACCATCACTGGAGTAGGGTCTCCTGCTTGGGCAGGGGTGCTAGACTAGATGATCTATAAGGTCCCTTCCAACTCTGTTAATCTGTTATTTTGGAAACCTAAAGAACATCAGACCTATTTAAGTCAGATGTCAGGATTCCAGAAGTTACCCCAATTAAATCATGAAGACCATAGAAATATTTTATGAGTTGACATCATACTTATTAAGGGGGGGGGGGAGTCCATCCTGGAAGATGAGGGCAATGGTGAAATACTTCTACTGGTAGTCCTTGACCTACAACTGGTTGCTTAGAAACCGTTTGAAGTTATGTCAGATTCAAAAAAGCTACCTGTATTGTACAGCATTTGTGGCCGTTTGCAGCATCCCACCATTATATGACCACAACTTACAGGGTGGTGGTTGTTTTTTTGCCAGAAACCGGTGTTTACTTCTGGTTTCCAACACAAAAAAAATGCCCATTGCAGACAATGGGTTTGCTTAACAACCCACTGCAAAAAAAATTAATAAAATCAGGTCGGCCACATGATGGCCTGTTTAATGCCTGGCATGACTTAGCCTTAATACTATTATTCCAGGCTTAATTATGATCGTAAGTCAAGTACTACTTGTATGTGGTTGCCAAAAAAAACTTCAGAAATGTGTCCATGAAGTCACCCACATGTTTTGGAAGACACATTACAGAAGATATGTCCCTTGGAATGGGAACATCTGAACACCAACACAAAGAGTTGTGGAGTTCCCAGATACTGGCCACTGGCATCTTGGTAGCCCTGCCACTGACAGTCCCTTTAAGTAGCCAACCTTAAGCCAACTGGATTTGCAAAGCTTTTGGATTTACTTAGGACAGGAGCCGGGGTGGTGCGGTAGTTAGAATGCAGTACAGGTAATCCTCAACTTAAAACAATTCATTTAGTGACCGTTCCAAATTAGGACAGCTAGCACTGAAAAAAGTGACTTAAGATCGTTTCTCACACTTACAGCTGTTGTAGCGTCTCTGTGATCATGTGATCAAACCTCGGACACTTGGCAACTATCTTGTATTTATGACCGTTGCAGTGACCCGGGGTCATGGGATCACTTTATGTGAACCTTCTGATAAGCAAAGTCAACGGGGAAGCCAGGTTCACTTAACAACCTTGTTATTAACTTAACCACTGCAGTGATTTGCTTAACAACTGAGGCAAGAAAAGTTGTAAAATGGGGCAAAATTCACTTAGCAAAGGTCTCATTTAGCAACAGAAAATTTGAGCTCAGTTGTGGTGGTATGTAGAGGGCTAGCTGGCATTGCAAGCTGACTCTGCTCATTGCAAGTTTTTAAGAAGAGATTGGATAACCATTTGTCTGAAATGGTATAGGGCTTCCTGCCTGAGCAAGGGGTTGGACTAGAAGACCTCCAAGGTCCCTTCCAACTCTGTTATTCTATTCTATTCTATTGCCAGGAGTTTGATACTGACAGGCTTGAGGTTGTCTCAGCCTTCCATCCTCCTGAGAAATGTGGACCCCGATTGTTGGGGGGGCTAATATACTGACTCTGTAAACCGCTTAGAGGGGGCTGTAAAGTATTATGAAGCGGTATACAAATCTAGTAGGGACGGGGTGGCTCAGTGGCTAAGACGCTGAGGTTGTTGATCAGAAAGATCTTCAGTTTGGCGGTTTGAATCCCTGGCGCCGCGTAACGAAGTGAGCTCCCGTTACTTGTCCCAGCTTCCGCCAACCTAGCAGTTTGAAAGCAGGTAAAAAATGCAAGTAGAATAAAATAGGGACCACCTTTGGTGGGAAGGTAACAGTGTTCTGTGCACCTTCGGCGTTTAGTCATGCCAGCCACATGACCATGGGGACATGTTCGGACAGCGCTGGCTCTTCGGTTTTGTAATGGAGATGAGCACCGAGTCCTAGAGCCAGAAACAACTAGCACATATGTGTGAGGGGAACCTTTACCCTTTATATAAATCTAAATGCTGTTGCAATTGCTGTTTCTCTGAAATGGCAGATTGCACTGCTCCCCTGTGTAACTTACCCAGTTCGTTCATGGCACGGCGATATTCTTCATCAAACGAGAGCTTCATGATAGCGCAGGTAGCTTGGCAGATCTGGGGCTCGATTGGAACAGGAGCTGCAGAGAAGGAAATGGAATCCGGTGAATGGAACAGAAACCCAAACCCAAAGTCATTGCGTCAACTTTGGATGCATTTCAAGTGGAGTCACATCCCTTTGATGGTTTATACCCCAAAATGAACCCATTTAAAGTAGGATTGTGAGAACTGGGCACAAGCTCAAAAAGTTGCTGGTTAGGTCAGCAGGCTAGAAAGGCTTATGAAGAGAAAAGGAATGAAAACATTTAGAGAATGGAAAGAGAATAGCTAAACAGTATAGCTTAGCTATAAACGGTATAGCTTAGCTAAATAGCTTAGACGGTAGCTAAAAAGGAGAGATAGCAAGACTCTTCTGAAATATTAATAAGCTCCCCTACATGGAGAAGAACATTATGACTGCTACGGAGCTCGTGTATTTTGCAATGCAAAATACAGACATTTGGGGAAACTATAACTTCAAAAACATGTTGGTAAGAACTTAGAATTCTTTATTGGCCAAGTGTGATTGGACACACAAGGAATTTGTCTTGGTGCAAATGGTCTCAATGTATATAAAAGATACATTTGTCAAGAATCATCAGGTACAACGCGTAATAATAGTCATAAGGTACAATAAGCAATCGAATCATGCTAGGAAACAGTCAATATAAATCGTAAGGATACAAGCGACAAAGTTACAATCATACAGTCACAAGTGGGAGGGGATGGGTGATAAGGAGTGATGAGAAGATGAATAGTAAGTCTGTCTTTTAAATGTTTGGTTTCTCATCAGGAGAGGCATGGGTAAATGCTGTTCAAATATCCTTTAACAAGCCCCTTAGCGAATCTAACTACTGGAAGCCTGGCACAGAAATATTCCATGTAAAGAAATATTTTTAAAGTCAACAGAACTTGAGTATCTGCCATTGCGTAACCTCAAGTCAGTTTCTGTCTCTAGGTCTAATGTAATCATTGCATTGTTATGCTAATAAAGGGAGAGTGTGGCCTTTATTTATTCAGTTCATTTCCTTTCTCTACCGCCCTTCCAAAATAGCTCAGGGCAATTTCCATTAAAAGTTAGGTCGTTAAAAAACACTGAAGCAAAACAAAATGGACTAAAAATCAAAGTAACCCTCATGCAGAAATTATTTTGAAAGGCTAAGTGTTTACATTTTTCAGGTTGGCTGAGGACCTGCAAAGGAAATAGAGGTCTGGGCTCTATGAAAACTGGGGGCCCGTCTCTAAGAAGATTGTGGAGAAGTCGGTGAGCTATGGATTTCTCTGGAAAGTCTTCATGAGCGATAGAGAGCAGGCAAAACAGTCCCAAAGGTGCTTTTATCAGGAGGCAACTAGACTTTCTGGTTTTCTTTTGAAGACATTTTGCTTCTCATCCAATAAGTTTCTTCAGCTCCGACAAGATAGTGGGGGATGGAAGGATTTATAGTCCTTGCAGACAGCAGGTCATTTACATCCTTTGAGAGGGCGGTTGAAGCACTTGGGGGTTTATCTGTGTCCCCGGGATCATCTGAGTAGTGCTCCTGGTTCCTGTAGTCTGTAATTTTTTTTACAGACTTTTGGCTATGCAATTTTGTCTGAAACACCCTTTGAATGGTGTGGGAGTAGTAGGAATGGATTTCCAGAGGAAAAATTGCAGACTACAGGAACCAGGAGCACCACTTGGACACAGATAAACCTCCAATGCGTCAACGACCCGCTAAAAGGATGCAAATTGCCAGCTGTCTTCAAGGAATATAAATCCATACGTTCCCCACTATCCTGTCAGACAGTGGTGGGTTTCCAATTTTTTTTTCCTGTTGGTTCTATGAGAGCGCTTCTCCCTTGTTTCCTGGACTGTAAAAGTGAGGGAGAGAGATGTACTTTCAGACTTAATATAACCTTACAATAAGGATAAGAGATATGGTGTCAAACTCTATTTCATTGAGGGCCACATCGGAGTTGTGTTTGGCCTCAGTGGGCTGTGGTGGGCATGGGCTGTGGTGGGCAGCTCAACATTATTCATGTCAGGAGCACTTGTAGTGGTCCAAGCGCCCTGCCAGTGAAAACGGGCTCCCAAGCTCCGTTTTCGGCTGCGATGGCCTCCTGCAACCCTCTGCCAGTGAAAACGGAGCTTTGGAGAGTTGCTTGCGGCCCTCCTGAACTCCGTTTTCACTGGCAGAGGCACCGCAGGCCAGTCCTTTGCTGTTTCCAGGGTGGCCCCATGGGCCAGATCTAAGCCCCTCACAGGCCGCATCCTGCCTCCGGGCCTTGAGCTTGACACCCCTGCTTTAGACCACCCGGAAAGGCTGATAGGTAACCCCAATCCTCCCTCTTGTCAGGATTCCAGCAATCGCCCTTATTAAATCATGATTCTTGAGCCAAACTTCAAAAATCTTCAAAGGATTTATTAGAGGCGACATACTGGCACTGCCCCGTATAAAGCCAATTCCGCCATACATAATTTACAATCCCCTGTGACCCTGTTTTCCCCCGCTCCCCCCTGGGTGTCTCATAAAGCAGATTCTCCAATTGAGCACGTTTACAGGCTGGGTGTCATCATTCACGTTCTCCAATTAAATATATTTGCGGGCAAAAGCTCTGGTAGTTTAGTTACAATTTTTTAAAGATAAGAGTTGGAATGTACTTTCAATTTCAAACTGCAGCATTGCTCTTCCAGATTTTCTCCCCCCCCTTTTTTTTAATGGCAATTACTAAAACAGGTATATAGAAATGTTTTATGAGTTGACACCTCTACCTGCTCCCCCCTCGGGGATCTTGGCCCCTTCCTTCTGCATCCTGAGCCAGTCCCAGCAGGTCTCGGAGTAGGAGCGGATCTGTTCCAGCACGTGTAGCACCCGCATCTCCTTCTTGGCCTGCCCTTCGTCGGGCTGAGAGAAGATGATATTGTGGAGGGCAGCATTGGCCCGCATGCGACAGTCCTTCCCTGCAGCTCCAGGGCTATCGGGGGCACTCGGTTCCCGGTCTGAATCGTGGAGAATCTGGATGAGGAGAGGGAGGCACCCCGACTTGCGCATGGCCAGGCAACTCTCCTGTGAACTGGACATGGCCAGCAACGTGCGCGACATGTCCTCCTTGTCTCGGGTGGCCAACATAGAAAGCAGCCAGAAGACCACCTCCACCTGAGGATCAGGAGAAAAAAATCCCTTTTTGATTCACACTTAGCACAGCAGTGATTTCTTTTACCTTGCTGGTCCTTTGTTTTTGTTCTGTACAGGGCGTCCTTGACTTATGATCACAATCAAGCCAAAATTTCCACCACTAAGCGAGACAGTTGTTCACTGAGCTTTGCCCCATTTTACGACCATTCTTGCTACAGTTGTTAAGTGAATCGCCATAGTTAAGTTAGTAACGTGATTGTTAAGTGAATTTGGCTTCCCCTTTGACTGATAACAGATAATCAGAGTTGGAAGGGACCTTGTAGGTCATCTAGTCCAACCCCCTACATAAGGAGATAAGCAGGAGACCCTACATCATTTCTGACAAATGGCAGTCCAATTTCTTCTTGAAAGTCTCAAGTGATGACACTCCCACAACTTCCGAGGGAAACTTCTGTTCCACTGGTTGATTGTTCTCACTTTCTTTGTCAGGTCGCAAATCGTGATCGCTTGATCCTGGGACACTGCCACCGTCATTAATATGAGTCAATTGCTAAGTGTTTGAATTTTGATCACATGACCATGGGGATGGTGCAAGGGTCTTAAGTGTGCAAACTGGTAAGTCACTTTTTTTCAATGCTGTTGTTAACTGTGAATGGTCACTAAACCAACTGCTGTATTTCATTTCATTCTATATTGTTGCATTTTATTTCACAATAGTCCTTTATATACAACAGTTCATTTAGTGACTATTTGAAGTTACAATCAGAGATGGTATTCAGCAGGTTCTGAGCAGTTCTGGAGAACCGGTAGCGGACATTTTGAGTAGTTGGGAGAACCAGCAAATCCCATCTCTGACTGGCCCCGCCCCCATCTATTCTCCACCTCCCGGATCCCAGCTGATTGGCTGGGTCTTCTTTGGTTGCCCTGCACAGGAGAACGGAGCTGGAAAGCAGGTTAGCGGGGTGGGGAGGGAATGGGGATTTTTCAGTATCCTTCCCCTGCCACGCCCACCAGGCCATGCCCACCAAGGCATGCCACACCCACCAAGCCACGCCCACAGAATTGGTAGTAAAATTGTTTGAATCCCACCCCTGGTTACAATGACACTGAACAAAGTGATTTATAACCATTTTTCCACCCTTGCAATATTGCCAGCACCCCCATGGTCACGTGATCAACATTTGGACACTCAGCAGCCTTACTCATATTTATGACTGTTGCAACATCTTGGGGGGGTCATGTGTTCACCTCTTGCGGCCTTCCGACAAGCAAAGTCCATGGGGAAGCCAGATTCACTTAACAACCGTTACCAATTTAACAACTGCAATGATTCACTTAACAACAGTGGCAAGAAAGTTCATAAAATGGCGCAACGTTCACTTAACAATGTAAATTTGGGGCTCCGTTGTGGTCGTACGTCGAGGACTACCTGGTACAAATGGCCTTTTTGGAACAAACCAAGCCTAAGAAGATTGGGAGCTGCACATTTTGATGCTGCCACTAGATGGCACTCACGTAAAAGGCCGGCACCTGAGATTTGAAACTATGATTTGCATCATGTAAAAAAATAATAATAAAACAGGCAAAACTTTGCGTGGATGTGGCCATTATTTTGGCTTTTGTTTTGACTCTTTCCTCGCAGACAAACCCTCTTTTGTTTTCTTGCTTGGGGTAGGGGTTGCCTTCAAGTCATTGTTGATTCCTGGTGACTGCCTGGATAAGTCCCTGAAATTTTTTCTTGGCAAATTTTTAGAAGTGACTTGCCATTGCCACTTCTTTCTAGGGCTGAGAGAAAGTGGCTGGCAGAAGATCACCCAGCTTCCTTTGTCCTGGTGGAAGTTAAAACCCACCCCTCTCCTGGAAAAAATGAAGAATTTTAGGATTACACTGAAAAGGCAGAATATTTTCCCTAAAAAAGAAACAGAAACTCAGAGAGGCAGAAACTCAACCCCCACCCCCCTTTGTTAATGGGCCATTAAGGCCTGGGCCAGTCTATTCTACATAACAAAGATCTACCTCCTTCCGGCAGAGCCATTCATTGCACCACCCACCAAGTTTCAACCAAACTTGCACACAGACAAACTACAAAGCTAGCTGTGACCTCTGACAGCAACCGGTCAGGATACACTTCCTGTGACCCAGGAAGTTCAAAGCCAGAGAGGGTATAAAACCCAGGTACTCCCAACATCCTTCCCCTTTACTTTCTGCAAGAACTCCAAGGCATGTGGTCCTCTCCACCATTAAACCATCTTTCCAAACAGCCTCCATGTTTCCAGTGTCTTTTTCCCCACTTGGAACTGAAGGATATTTCTGCCAACAGTGCCTAAGACAAAACTAGAATTCAGAGTCACCCAGTTCCCAGCCTGGATGCCTTAACCATCTCAGATAGTCCTCAACGTATTACAGTTGTAAGGTATAGTGGTCATTAAACAAATCACAATGTGGCTGTGCCTGATTTTATGATCTTTTTTTCCTGTGGCCATTAAATGAATGTGGCAGTTGTAGAGTGAATGCCCGGTCATTAAGTGAATCCATTGTCTGCAATGGGAGAGGGTTTTTTTTTTTGCTAGAAATGAAGTAAATGTTAATTTCCAGCAAAAAACAAAACAAAACACCCCATAGTAAAATATTGGTCATATGACTGCAGAATGTGGCAAACAGCTGTTAAGATAGGCCAGTTGCTGAGTGCCAAAAAGTGATCATGTGACCATGGAAGGGGGCAGCTGTCAGAACTTCAAATAGCTTTAGGGAGGTCCAGGGTAGCTTTGAATGGTCATGACGTGACCAGTCGTACATCCAGGACGATCTGTACAGCAAAAGTAGGTGTGATGACCTGGAGTGTAACACAAATGTAACGAAATCCAAAACATAAATAAATGCCCTTTAATGCCTCCAACTTGGCCTCACTGTTCAGTAATTCTCAGTTGGAGATAAAACTTATTCAAAAATAGTCTTCAAAACAAAGCAATACAGTCTGAACTTAATGAGCAGATAGAAGTGAAATAAAAAACCAAACAAACTACAATGAAAAAATTTCCACAATGGACCAGATAAGTAATTACCAAATTCAAGGAGATAACAAGGTACAGTCTGTTGGAAGGACGCCAACCAAGATAACTTCAGCCCAAAATAAAACACACTTTGTTTCTGGCAACACTGTGTTTTAACCATCTCTCTTATATACTAGTCTTCCCAGCTGCAACTAATGAGGGAGATCATGGCCGCTTCCTCTCTCGTAAACCAAGTTGTTGCCTTCTCTGTTCCTCCTTGCGTGCCCTAGGATGCAGAGGGGATGGGCCTGGTTCTTCCCCTGACTACCCAGCCGGCCTCTGCCCTTCCCCAGCCTCCTCCACAACCTCCAGAGCCACACCTCCACTCCCTGTCAGCTGTTCCTCCTCTCCCTCAGAGTCCAACTCTACCAAGGGCATGACAGTACGACTGGGTTAAATTCCAGTAGCGAAACGACACCCAGCCTACCCTATGGAACCACATCCCCATGGAGATCCAGATAATCCCGACCACGTTAACCTATCTGAGGCATTAAAGACATGGTTGTTCTCCCATGCATTTAGGCCATACAGTTAATTGGTTTTTGGTTGATTCATTTCCAAGTTATGGGCTGTAAATGGGGTGATTTTAGTCCTCACATGTACATTACATGTGCATGTTTATTTACACTAGGATTGTGTTGCATTCAACTCCTCTATTGGTCTCCTATAGTCATCACAAGCAGGATGGGTGATTACATTAAAGAAATTAGACAAAAGCAATGAATCAATCAATAGTAGTTTGCATGGAAGCTGTACTGCATTTGAAATTAAGGAGAAACTAGCTGACAGTGAGAAGAATTAACCAGTGGAACAACTTGCCTTCAGAATTTTTAGGTGCTTCATCACTGAAAGCTTTTAAGAAGGGATTGGACTATACCATTTGTTTGAAATGGTACAGGGCTCCCTGCCTAAGCAGGGGGTTGGACTAGAAGACCTCCAAGGTCCCTTCCAACTCTGTTATTCCGTGATTCAAATCACTTATATGCCTTTAAAACAGAAGGCCGTCTGCAGGTCATGGTTATGCATATGCCCATAAAAACCATCTTGTCTTTTTTGACTGCAAAAACATAGTACTCTACCTTACTGCTACCCAGCTGACCCTTCGCTTCCTCTGAATGGGTTGCGATGTCGAGCCTTCCATCCCCTTCGCTGCTTGGCAGTTTTCCAGAAGGCTGGAAGATAAGAATTGGGAAACACAGAGAAACGTTTAATAAAAGTTGCCTCCTTGCACCCCACTGGAGTCCGCCTGCCAGGATCTGCGGAACCCATTTTGGTGGATGTGCAGACCTCAAAACGACGCTATAGAGCACTGCACACCAGAACAACTCGACACAAAAACATTTCTTCCCAAACACCATCACTCTGCTAAACAGATAATTCCCTTAACACTGTCCAACTATTTACAAAGTCTGCACTACTATTACTATTAATCTTCTCATCACTCCTTATTACCCATCCCCTCCCACTTGTGACTGTATGGCTGTAACTTTGTCGCTTGTATCCTTATGATTTATATTGTTTCCTAGTATGATTCGATCGCTTATTTATACCCTATCAGTATTATTAAGTGTTATACTTTATGATTCTTGACTCTTGATGAATGTATCTTTTCTTTTATGTACACTGGGAACATTTGCCCCAAGTCAATTTCCTTGTGTGTCCAACAACACTTGGCCAATAAAGAATTCTATTCTATTCTATTCTATTCTATTCTATTCTATTCTATTCTATTTGACAGTTAGGCTCACAAAACTGGTAGAAACCGAATTGTTCAAGACCCAACTAAGAACTATTAAGTAGCACCTTAGATGCTTAGGTCAGCCAGATGTTTGGACTGGATTTGACACTTTTATCCACCCACTTGAGTCCTTCCAAAGGATCAGAGATAGGCAGATGTTGATAGCTTATGGTGTTAAAGGTATTATTGCAGAATGTCAGCTGTTCCAAGCAAAGCTGCCTTTTGCAGTTGACTGACAGTGAATTTGTCAACGCCAATGGTGTCCAAGCGGTGCTCTAGATGTTATGAGATTGCACCAGACTGACTGGCCCCGCCCGCATCTATTCTCTGCCTCCCGAATACAGTGCGTCTGCTTTTGTTGCCCTGCACAGGAGAGCGGAGCTGGAAAGCAGGTTAGTGGGGCAGGGAGGGAATGGGGATTTTGCAGTATCCTTCCCCTGCCACGCTTCCCATGCCACGCCCACCAAGCCATGCCATGCCATGCCACGCCCACCAAGCCACGCCCACAGAACCAGTAGTAAATTTTTTTGAATCCTACCACTAGGTTGCACTCAAGGGGCCTGTTGCTATTGGTACTAACTTTGCTTTCCTTTGCCAGGGTCGTTCTGCTTCTATTTGCCGGCTTTTGTATTTTCTGACCTTCTTGATATTATTATTTGCAGGGGGTTCCATCCCATTCCAATCCAATTATTCCCCCCCTCCCCTTCTTCATACAGATCTCACAGCAGACGCAGGCCAATTTTGGATGTGAGCCAGATCATTCTCTAGCCGCTTGGCTCTCCCACCCCAGCAGCCTCAGATCCTAGCTGCCCAACCCGGGCATAGCCACCAACTGCTCTCCATCCTTCGGCTGGCCTATTTTTCATCTCCATGGCAACTGCCTCTTTGTCACTGTATAGGAAATGCACACAGAGCCCACACTCTCCATTGCCTCCGGGCCAAAGGGAGGAGGGAGGAAACAAATCCGGAATTGCCCTCTCATTATTTGACCCCATTCTCATGCAAGGCGACACCCCGGCCCTTAATTCGTTTTGTTTAGGATCTCTTCGCCAGCCTCCCTTCCCCGCCTGACCCAACATATTGGGGACGCCCTTTGTAAAGGACAGGTAGTTCTCGACTTACGACCTCAATTGAGCCCAACATTTCCATTGCCAAGCGAGGCAGTCATTGAGTGAGTCGCTTTTTTGTCACAGTTCAGCGAATTACTGCAGTGGTTAAGTGAATCATGAGGTCATTAAGCAAATCTGGTTTCCCCCCATCGATTTGGCTTGTCGGAAGCCAGATGGGAAGGCCGTAAATGGTGACACACGACCCCAGGATAATGCAACTGTCATAAATATGAGACTGTTGGCAAGCGCCCAAATTTTGATTACAAGACCATGGGGATGCTGCAACGGTCATAAGTGTGAAAAACAGTCATAAGACATTTTTTTCCCATTGTTGTTGTAATTTTGAACAGTCATTAAACGAATGGGTGTAAGTCAAGAACTACCTAATGCAATCCTAAGTCGCACTAACAGAGGGAAACAATCAAGATCAAGGGAGGTACTAATTCCGCTCTATAAAGTCTTAGTAAGACCACACTTGGAATATTGCATCCAGTTTTGGCCACCACATTATAAAAAAGATGTTGAGACTCTAGAAAAAGTGCAGAGAAGAGCAACCAGGATGATTAGGGGACTGGAGACTAAAGCATATGAAGAATGGTTGCAGGAACTGGGCATGGCTGGTCTAGAGAAGAGAAGGACCAGGGGAGACATGATAGCGGTCTTCCAATATTTGAGGGGCTGCCACAGAGAGGAAGGGGTCAAAATATTCTCCAAGACACCTGTAGACCAGACAAGGAATAATGGAGAGATTTAACCTGAAAATAAGGAGAAACTTTCTGACAGTGAGAACAATCAAGCAATGGAACAGAAGTTGCCCTCGGAAGTTGTGGGAGCGCCATCCCTTGAGACTTTCAAGAAGAGATTGGACTGCCATTTGTCAGAAATGGTGTAGGGTCTCCCACTTGGGCGGGGGGGGGGTTGGACTAGATGACCTATAAGGTCCCTTCCAACTCTGATTATCTGTTATCTGCTACCTGTGTTGTTCTGTGCAGGCTCCAGAAGGGACACTGAATAGCCAATGAGTGATCTAACCACAATCACCTTTGTTTACCTAATTCAGCAATGATGAATCTCTGACAAACATGACGAATGACGAATCACATTTGGGGTGACATGCCAGCGATCACCAACAGCTGGCAAGAACTATTTTCAAAAGCATAGTTTTCAGAGACTGTGAAGCCTGCAGGAGAATGGGGTATGCTCTCACACAGCCTCTGGACAATTGATGTTTCTTTATATCAAGGGTCTTCAAACTTGGCAAGTTTAAGACTTGTGGACTTCAACTCCCAGAATTCCTGAACTAACATGACTAGAAGAGGATTTCTGGGAGTTGAAGTCCACAAGTCTTAAGGCTACCAAGTTTGAAGACCCCTGCTTTATATCATACATAGCACCACATATGATTGGACCAGTGGTGGTATTCTACCGGTTCTCCCCGGTTCACCTGATCCGGTAGCTCTGACAATCATCTGTGAGCGAACCGGTTTGCTCCAATGACTTGCCCTGGTTCTGTATTGACCTTTATTTCCTGCTTTTCAACCTCAGCTGCTTTGCACAGCACAGCAGATTGCCGTGCATCGGCTGTTGAAGACACAGGGAGAGTGCAGGATTGTAGAAGGTTAGTGGCAAACCCTCTACACGCGCGTGCAAAGTGCGCGTTTGGTGCAAAGTGCGCAAAGCACGTGTGTTGCATGCAAAGGGTGCACACCAAGCCACGCCCACAGAACCGGTGTTAAAAAAAAATGTTGAAACCCACCGCTGGATTAGACTGTATATTTTAAAAACTAACTGAATCTGTATAGAATTGTTTCCCTTCGATTGGTGGTGGAGAGTGTGACATTGCTAGCAGAATCAAGTCAGGTGATTCCCAAACTTTCGATACACTGAGCCCAAAAGATTTTCCATCTGATCTGATCGTGGTTTTTTTTCAAGAAATCCAAACTATTTGCTGTACACATGCTAAGTCATAAAGTATGGTTTAACCATCGCAGCATCAGAGTTTGTAGGATGTGCCAGGCCAAAATGTGGTTTATGGAAGTAAAATCATCATAATTTTATCCTGAGATAGATAAATAAATGAGAGGGGAGAGAGAGATGGATGATGGATAGATGACAGATTAGATAGCGAGAGATGACAGGTGACAGGTGATAAATAGTTAGATAGATATATAGATAGATATAGAGATGGATGATGGATAGATGACAGATTAGATTGCAAGAAATGACAGATAGATGACAGGTGATAGATAATAGATAGATAGATAGATAGATAGATAGATAGATAGATAGATAGATAGATAGAGATGGATGATGGATAGATGACAGGTTAGATAGCGAGAGAGGGATGACAGATACATTATATACACACACACAGACACACACACACACACACACACACACACATATATATTTAAAAAACTAACTGAATCTGTATAGAATTGTTTCCCTTCAATTGGTGGTGGAGAGTGTGACATTGCTAGCAGAATCAAGTTAGATGATTCCCAAACTTATATATATATATAGAAAGTGAGAAATGACAGCTAGATGACAGATTAGATAATTTGCGGGCAAGATGTGTTATCCAGAGGCCGCGCCCACCCCAGTTCCGCAAATGGGAAAAATGTCGCGAAAAGTCTTATGATGGCAATGTGATGCCACAAGTTTGACACCCGTGGATTAGATAGATAGATAGATAGATAGATAGATAGATAGATAGATGACAGATTAGATAGCAACAGAGAGAAAGTGAGAGATGACAGATATAGAAAGAGAGAGAGAGGACAGATGATGATAGATAGACAGACAAACAGACAGACAGATAGATAGGAGAGAGAGAATAGATAGATTGATAGTTAGATACATAGAGAAAGAGAGAGAGAAATAACGCTTAAGGCAGCAAATACGAAATACAGTCCTACCTCATACTTTCTCCACAACAACCTCCCTGTGTGACAGAGTGATAGACCCAAAGTCACCCACCTGGAGTTCAGTAAGTACTTTAAAGGAAGAAAAAGACTGCTAGCAAGTGTTCTAAAAATAAGCAGTTACATTTTCCTCCTTCTGCCCATTTATTTTCAGGCACTTGAGACAGACCAGCATAATTATGCAATAATTATATAATTCTTTCTTTCTTTCCTTGGAATTGCCTTCTCGAAAGAATAGCTCTCAGCATAGGTACAGAAGAAATTTGACAAAAATGTATCCTTCCTCCATTTTGGGGAGTGGGGGAATATTTGTCCAAAAAAACTCGAGATGGCAGCTGTAGCTACACAGTCAACATCCTGATCCTTTTTCACCCATATGAAAAGGACAAGGCTCCCATCATGCAACGGCAGCTGCCATCTTGAATTTTTTTGACCCTTCTATGCAGACCCCACTGTCTAGAATAGCGTTTCTCAACCTTGGCAGCTTTCAGAGGGGTGGACTCCAACTCTCAGAAGCTGGGGAATTCTGGGAATTGGAGTCCACCCCTCTGAATGCTGCCAGCGTTGGAAACACAGGTCTAGCATCTTGCTCAGAGGTGGTATTCAGTAGGTTCTAACCAGTTCTGGAGAACCGGAAATTTTGAGTAGTTCAGAGAACAAGCAAATACCACCTCTGTCTGGCCCCACCCCCATCTATTCTCTGCCTCCCGAGTCCCAGCTGATCGGCTGGGTCTCCTTTGGTTGCCCTGTACAGGAGAACAGAGCTGGAAAGCAGGTTAGTGGGGTGGGGAAGGAATGGGATTTTGCAGTAACCTTCCCCCAGAGGTGGGCAGGGAATGGGGATTTTACAGTATTCTTCCCCTGCCATGCCCACCAAGCCACACCACGCCACACCCACCAAACCACGTTCACAGAAGCGGTATTAAATGTTTTTGAATCCCACCACTGATCAGTCAATATAAATCATAAGGATACAAGCGACAAAGTTATGGCTGTAACTTTGTCCCTTGTATCGTTACGATTTATATTGACCGATTCCTAGTATGATTTGATTGCTTATTGTATCCTATGACTATCATTAAGTGTTGGACCTGATGATTTCTTGATTCTTGATGAATGTATCTTTTCTTTTATGTACACCGAGAGCATTTGCACCAAGACAAATTCCTTGTGTGTCCAATCACATTTGGACTTCTATATAATTCTTACCGGCTGTTCCGAGGGCTGCACTTTATCTTGTGCTTCCATCAGCTCTTTGTCAATCTGCTCTAGACGAGAGGCCCGGATCTGCAAAAATTTAAAATAAAAACGTGGCATTAGAAGCCATTCCTTTTCTCCCAAGAGATGAGCCCTGCCATAGGATAGTCGGCACTGTGCAGGAAACCTTTTTCAAGTGAGAGGGAAGACACCCTTTTAAAAAAAAATTATTATTTTTATGTGTGGGGAATATCTACAGTTAATGTTGTGGCCCGTCAGCAGCCAGCAGAGCTGGCGGCAAACTCAGACAACAAGGAGGTTGGGAGGAACATGGGCCAATCCTGGAGTCTTGAGAAGGCCCTCTGCGTCAGAGGCAGAGATGGGGCCAGGGCTGTCTGTCAGCTGCCTTCAGAGTCGGAGATCAGTGGGGCAGAAGAATAGCTGGAGCCTGTTCTCAGTGTGCACATGCACAGAGCTGCCAGGGGAAGGGAACAAGGGTCGACTCAGGAGTAAAGGCACAGGTGGATGATGAATGGCCACTCCCATAGGGAATGAAGAGAAGCGAAAGGGGAGTGGTGTTTGTAGGAGACAGTTAGTTCAATTCATGAGGTCTGTTCCTGACTCCTTGCCAAGTATTGTCTACTACAGAGTGGCGTATGGAAGATATCGGCCTGGCAACTCTCCCAGCCTGATAAAAGTCTGTAGCTGTGCAATCTCTTGAAAGACTCTTGGCCGGGACTTTGCTGAGATGTGAATGAGAGGAATTCACTTTAACCTAAATAAAAGGGGTTTTATCGGGACGAGGAGTTTGCGTCGTGCTTTTGGGAAGGCTAGGTCACAACCATTAGATTCACAGTCTAAGATGGGTGGGAGCTTAATCGTTCATGGCTTTTGCAACAAGTGTGCAAAAACGACTGGAACATTTGACACCCTTAAAAATGGAGCTGGGTTTGAGGGTGCAATCGTGGCCACTATCTGATGGCCCGCAATGGCCCCCATCCTGCAAGGTGGTTGGGAAAGCAGGAGAGAATAGGCCAGGCCAACATCCTCCTCCTTCTGATATTTGAAGGGCTGTCACAGAGAACAGGGGGTGGGCCTATATTTTAGGTAGGCACCTGAGGGCAGGAGAAGAAGCAATAGATGGAAACTGATCAAGGAGAGATCCAACCTAGAAATAAGGGGGAAATTTCCTGACTGTGAGAACAATGAATCAGAGGAACGGATTGTCTGCAGAAGTTGTGGATGCTCCAACAATGGAGGTTTTCAAGAAGAGGTTGGACAGCCGTTGGTCTAGAAGGGTATAAAAGTAAAGGTTCCCCTTGCACATACATGCTAGTTGTTTCTAGCTCTAGAGGGGCAGTGCTCATCCCCGTTACAAAGCCGGAGAGCCAGCGCTGTCCGAAGACGTCTCCGTGGTCATGTGGCTGGCATGACTGAACGCTGAAGGCGCACGGAATGCTGTTCCCTTCCCACCAAAGCAGTCCCTATTTTTCTACTTGCATTTTTTACATGCTTTTGAACTGCTAGGTTGGCAGAAGCTGGGACAAGTAAGAGGAGCTCACTCCATTACGCGGTGCTAGGGATTTGAACTGCCGAACCGCCGACCTTTCGATCAACAAGCTCAGCGTCTTCGCAACTGAGCCACTGCGTTCCTTGACTAGAAGGGTATAAAGGAGGGTGGGATTCAATTAACCAGGGGTGGGATTCAATTTTTTTAACAACAGGTTCTGTGGGCATGGCTAAGTTGGTGGGCGTGGCTTGTTGGTCATGTTATTGGGTGGGCGTGGCCAACTCAATATCACTCACATCGAGGCACGCATCTCCTCGCCTGCCTCTCATGACTGTGGGGATGCTTCAACAGTCGTAAGTGTGAAAAAGGGTCATAAGTCACTTTTTTCAGTGCCATTGTAACTTTGAATGGTCACTCCACACAAGCAAAGTACCAGCAAAGAAGGGGAAAAAAACTCCAGAGACGTTCCAGAGACAGGAAGTCTAGTCCTGCCAAGAATGGAATAAGGGTTAACAGAGAGGCAGTTTCTGTAAGCAACACCAGAATGTTTCCTTCCTGCCTTCCTTACAGGATTAAGCCAGTAATTTCTTCTAACGACCAGTTCTCCGAACTGCTTAGAATGTTAACAACTGGTTCTAGCGAATGGGTGCGAACTGGTAGAATCCCACCCCTGTCTTTAACTTATGACCACCATTGAGCCCCAGAATTTCTGTTGCTAAGCGAGATAGTTGATAGTTGTGAAGTGTTCCATTTTACGACCTTTCTTGCCCCAGTTGTTAAGGGAACCAGTGCAGTTGTTAACTTAGCATCCCAGGTGATAAGTCAATCTGGCTTCCCCACTGACTTCGCTTGTCAGAAGGTTGCAAAAGGAGATCACGTGACCCTGGGACACTGCGACTGTCATAAATAGGAACCAGTTGCCAAGCGTCCAAATTCTGATCATGTGAGGCTGCAATTGTCCTAAATGGGAAAAATGGTCCTAAGTTGCTTTCTTCAGTGCCGTTGTAACTTCAAGCTATCAGTAAACAAATAACTGTAAGTCCAGGACTACCTGTAGGGTCTCCTGCTTGAGCAAGGAGCTGGACCTGAGGTCTCTAAGGTCACATCCAATATTATTCTGTATTATTCTTCCTCCTTCTCTTCTTCCTCCTCCTCTTTCTCCTCCTCTCCCTCCTCCATCTCCTCTCCC